ACAATGTAGACGTTCCAGTGATATTATAGCACTAACTTGTTACTCAACGCTACTGGAAGTTCCCAAAAATGATGAATTTTTAACAAACCAGATGTAACATTCCTTTTATATCCAAGAAAGTCTTTTTACTTCTTGTAGATGTTATTATAAAGCCCACAAAATAAAATCATATTAATGAACCAAATGTGACGTTCCAATTATGATACGCAGTTTATACGTTTTTATTTTTATCTTTGTCTTTTAAATTTTATATGTAAATATTTTATATATTTCATCTATATAAAACAGAATAGAAATAATGTCTTCTAACTTGAAGTTAAAAGAAGACAAGTTAAGTTATACTTCTAATTCCTGGAAATTTTGCAGAAAAATTATGATAATACAATGGTCTAAATTGGTATCGAAGGTAATAGTAAGAACTTTGATGAAATACTTAATACCGGGCAACAGAACAGACTGCTTCATAATACAGTACCTACAGTCTGTTCGCTATACTTACGCGGGTTTCGGATTAACAAAATTATGCAAATTAGTCATTGACAACCAGTTCCACTAAGCCTCTTCCCAAGAAATTAGGTAAAATTGCCCTAATGGTCAGATTTAAATTAAAATATTAGGGTAGGTACTAAATTTGTTGCAAATATTGCAGTTGAATTGATTCTTTGCAAGTGTTGACATTGTATGTATATTGTAAATTTAGTGGAAATTTTAAAAATGCCTAGACGTGTGTTAGAGGTAGATAGTCTAATTTGCAGTGTACATAAGTATTTTACGGATGAAAAAGAAAATGGCGGTCCTTTAAAATCGGTAATGTCTGTACAACAACGCGTATGCGATGCTCTAGGAATTAGTGAAACCAAATTAAGAGGAGTATTACAAAATCACAATAGTGAACTGCCGAAAGAAGATCACCGCAAAACTCGCCCATCATTGAAAACGAAAGATATTCCAGATGGAAAAAAAATTTGAAATTCGTGATACCATTTATCGAATGAGGGCCAACAAGGAACATGTGACCTTAAGTACAATTCTCTCGGAATTAATAGATAGAAAATTTGACGACATTGGCAGAACAAGTCTATGGCAAGTGATACATAACTTGGGTTTCAAATTTCAAAAGGAAGATAACAGAAAGGCCCTTTATGAAAGAAGTTCTGTCGTGCACAAGAGAATTAACTTTCTAAGAAAATATTCTAAATTTAAAGAAGAAGGGGCAAATTTTATATATTTAGACGAAACATGGATATTTTATAGGGGTGCAACCAAGAGAATATGGCAAGATGATAACGTAAAGTCCATCAAACATACCGATGGAGAAGGGAAGCGACACATAATTTTACATGCAGGAGGGAAATCGGGTTTTATAGAAGGTGCCGATTTAATATTTTCATCTAAATCAAAATCCAGTGACTATTACGATAATATGAACACATAAATGTTTGTAAAATGGTTGCATGCAAAATTTCTCCCAGGTTTAAGTGAGCCCAGCGTAAATATTTTAGACAATGCACCTTACCATTTTGAAGTAATAAACAAAAGTCCAACGAATTCTTAGACTGTTGATAAAATTTAAGAATGGTCGAAAAAGGAACATATACCATTTCCTCAATATATATTAAAATAAGAATTATTACGCTTGGCAAATATACACGCAAAACCAAAAACCTTTGTTGTGGATCAGAATATTGAAAGTTACGGTCATCAAGTTTTACGTCTGCCACCGTATCATTGCCAGTTTAATCCCATCGAATATATATGGGGAATAGTAAAACAATATTATTGGGCCTAATGGTTATAGTGACGACGCAGTTCGGGAAACTTGGCGAAAAGCACTTTCAATTGCAATTCCAGAAGTGTGGCGGAACTGTATATCCAAGTGCGAGAAACTAATAGAAGATTGGTGGACTCGTCAAAATAAGTCCAATCATAATAACAATTAATGGTGATGACAGTGATGATGATGTTTAATTTTTTTATTTTTCATTTGAAATTTTCTACATGGAACAAATTTTTAGGTTAGAAAATATTTTATTTGAGCTAAATAACCCTCTTATTATACATAGACCATATTTTCTGTGTGAAGTGTAATATAAAATTATTATTAGGTTTATAATAGCCACATTAGACTCTATTAATGAAGAAGTTTAATTCTGCTCTCAATTATACAAAAGCTTCTCCATTATTATTTAATTAAAAAGTTGTACATTATTTTTCATTTCATTTAACCAGTTGATATTTCCCCAAAGAACAGGTCAAACTTTCGGGTACTTACCTGGAAATACTCATAAAATGTTTTAATCCGAAACCCGCGTAAGTATAGCGAACAGACTGTACAGGTTACGTAAGTAGTAAGCGATCATTGGTATCTCCATCTATGAACGCGGGACGAACTGTTAAGTCTGCGATGTAAAGACTAAAGATAGCCATCTTAAAGATGTGTAACTTGTACGCATTACTGTGCTGACCTGCGATAATATTGTGAGTTATATAAATTAACATCCTATAAATGTTTGTCACAGGAAGTAACTAAAAAGAAGTACAAAAGCTGTTTATCTAACTGCTAATTCAAGTATTCCAGTGTACATAAAACTTCATTATTTGTAGATATATGCCAGGAATATTAATGAATATGATGTTAAAATTTAAACATACAGTGAGCATCATAAGTCTTACCCCCCCCCCCCCCCCCCCCCTTAACTAACTCGTTACTGGAGTCTTGTTAGGAAAATCGCCGAGACACATCGATTTTTGAATTCTACAATGTACATTTTTGTAGGAATAGTTTACCCTTAATTTCATCCCTTACTGGAGGGGAGCAACCCTTTCAAAAAATTTAAATGGTATGTGGTGGTGAGTGATAGCTCATTTGAAAGGGGGTTTTATTCTCTATTCAACCGTGCAAAAAATTTTGAAACTTGCTTCATTACGTGTTGATTTATTAATGTTTAAAAATAACAAAACATCACAAATAGGAAAGCAACTAAACTAACAGTGACCTTATCTAATGGCAAAAAGTCTTACTTCACGTCTGAACCCAAACCGATATCATGCAGGGCCGAATTTTAATTCTAAGGATGAGTGCGCTACGTTAATTTCCGTTATTCTGAAACAATAATTAGTCGAAAATTAATGAAGCAAATTTCAAAATTTTTTGCACGGTTGAATAGAGACCCTTTCAAATGAGCTATCACTCGCCACCCCATGCCATTTAAATTTTTCGAAAGCGTTACTCCCCTCCAGTAAGGTATGAAATTAAGGGTAAACTGTTTATACAAACATGTACATTGTAGAAATCAAAAATCGACGTGTCTCGGCGATTTTCCTAACAAGACTCACTTTTTTAGGTCTTAGTTTAATGACACGCAATCAGATCTACGTCAACTAGATTGGTTTGGGGTAGGAGATACAGAGGGTTCTTAATTTTTTTGTATTTTTTATAAATGCTCATAACTTTTTTGTTTAATCAAATTTTTGAAATCTATAAAAACATTGTTAAAGCTTTTTTTCAACAGATTATTGTGACAGGGTTAAATTTGTAATTCGACGTTTCAATTTTGAGATACGATCCTCAGAGTAAAATAGTTAAATACGGACCTAGAATTTGTATTTAATTTTTTAAATGGTATTTTGATATAAAAAAATAAAAATATATCACTCTTACGTACGTTAAATAAATTTTTTTCTTCTAACCATTGAAATATTTTCTGTTTCTTTCTAACTAAAATTATGATATACGGTTGAGTTTGAGGTATAAATACTAATACAAGGCCGTTTTTTAAATTATTACTACGTTTTAATTTAAAATGCTTGTCGCTAATAATTTCCATTTTAAATATTTGTCCTAATTTTCCTTCACGTATAAATTAGGTACACGCGGACTGCACTGGTTAGCTAAATTAGCTTATTAAGAAGATTGCGTTTTTACCGAACGTGGAGGGAATATAATTAGTTTGAATAAAAGTTGTCAATAATCAAAAAGGCATTTCTTTTTATCAAACTGACTAAATTAAAACCTTTAAGCTTTAAAACATTCTTAATGTACTATTTGAAAGGTAAAAATTATGTTTTTTGATTTATTTTCTTATTTAAAATAAAATAAAACTACATTAACACTATTTGTTCCAAAATTCATTGTTTTAAAACCAACTTGCTATTTAAACCTTCAAAATAGTATTATGAAACCAGTATAAGATCAATAGGACATTAAGAGCAAATTGTTTTTTATTTTTATTTAAAAAGTGCATTAAATTCTTTGTATAGGAATAAGTGGTCTTTAAGAACTTTTACTTTATCATAACTTTAAAATCAATATGGTTTTATTGAATATGTCAAAGCACTTTTAAAACCCAAATAAATATAAAGTGTCTTACAATTGTTACTTGGGAGTGTACCTTTTTTAACTTGTAAGAATTTAAATAGTAGTGTACCAAAAATAATAGTGATAGTATATTCCTTACAAACCGAATTTAAGACATCTATTCTATTTTTTAGAACCTTTTTTTAACAAAAGGATCATACATTGTAAGAATTGTAATCTCCAGAAGGGGGATGATCCCCTTGGTCCTTTATCTGAAGTCTTTTTTGGTAAGCTATAGTTTTCTCCATATTTCAGAAAATTAAGCAAAAAATTTGTTCATCTGTGTTTTCATACGCAAAGTATGTACTTTACTAATGGTAGCCTTTTAAAGAAATGGAGACTCTTGTAATTCAAGTTTTACAATTTTTTTTTCTTAATTAATATGTATAAGTTTGGTTTCAATAATATAGGTATCTATTATTACATGAAAAATCCAAAAACTATATAAATAAAAACATAATTTTACTTTACTATCAACAGCATTATTTGGATATTTTACAAATACATTCTTTTAATCAAAACAAATAAAAATAATCTTTAACCTTTGCATAATTTAAGAATTTGCCGATATATTTAATAATGTAGCCTCATAATAAATATAATAAAGGGGAGTATTTATATAAAAAAATCTATATTTACTTACATTTTTGAGATATCGCAGAATTCAGAATAGATATAAAAACAACACAACACAACGTTGAGAGATTAAAATTAAATTTAGTCATACTCGTTATTAAAATTATCACTAATATATCTACTCAAGAGTTGTTTAACAACTGTCTGTATTATCTGTATATAATTATTTAGTAGAACCCAAATCACCTCTCTTATTTTCAAGAGTGATGTTTACGTTGAAGGACGTTAATGTAGTCCAGTCGTTGGACTTCCCTGCAGTCTGGGTTTTTCTTATTAAAGTAAATGAAGATGGTGATTTAACCATTCGATGCATTCAAGCCATTCTAGGTACTATTTTTACGATTTAGATAATAGATTATACCAATGGGTCTTAAAATTTCAATTTACATAGGCGTCCAAAAAGCTTAAGATTCCTCTAGATTTATAAGAACAAATATGTAAACAATAACTGAACAAGGCAGGGACGCATTCAGAACTATTTTTAAAATAAAAGTAGTTTCAAACTGAAATGTGACCAATAATTACTTTTCTGCAGTAAGTAGAGCGATTGTTAGGAAATCTTTTCAATAGAATCAAACTGCACCAATAACGCATCTTAGTACTTTATTTTGGAAGAATAGTATCAAGTTTTAAGTCTAAAATTTGGGGATTTGTTTATAAAGCAACAGTTTATTGTATCCTTGTAGGAATTTAATTTTCGCTTTCTTTGTGTCGAATATACAAAATATTTGGCCTAATATTGTGATGGGGATTAACACCGATGTTTATTCTTGTTTTGTTCATTTTGCCAGAACAAAGTCCAACAATTATCTGAACGGTTAACGGAATGTATCCTAACTTTCTCCCAAGTTTAATTTGATTTACAAAGAAAGATCGTTTGTCTGCAGGGCCGGCGCTTAGGGCGGGCAAGCAGGGCATAACTAGTTTATAAAGAAAATAATTAAACCATAAAAAATTAATAGGTGGAATTTTAATAAAATTTGTTTTTAATATGTTTTACAAACTGTTAAGTATAGGTAAAATCCTCAAGCATGAGAATGACATAAGAAGGTTGACATATGTAGTTTTTAAATAAAAACAACTTTTGAAAAATGGGTAGAGATTTTATGTATTAAGGACAGAATCTCCAAAGGATTTGCGGTCGAATTCTGTACTGCGGGACTGCCTAGCTAGTAGTGACTCTAGTCAAATATTTGGTAAAATAATCTACTCGCCAAAATTAATTATCGATCCGTTGAATTTGTTATTTGCTACTTACGGAGTTCTTATGCTGCGTTTGAGAATCCACATCGGATGCATCTGAGATGTAAAAAATCTTTGATCACGTGGTTCAGTATACGTAAATGTAATGGGACAGATGTGTCCGATGTGGATAAAAAAACGCTCGAGATGTAAAAAATGCATCCGATGTGGATTCTCAAACGCAGCATTAGCGTAGAATCATTTCTATCTGGATACGGAAACGAGGAAAGATGAATATTTTAGTACCAAAAAATAATATAGTTATATTATTTATTTTATTTAAATAGTAATTACAACGCAATAAGTAATTATATAATTATTTATTTTTAAAATTTTTTAAAAACGGGTTTTTTATTTGTATTTTTTAATTCTATATGCCTACATACTGAATGCTAGATCCATGTTTTCAAAAATAGATAAATTTAATTTTTTAAAATACGGAGAAAATGTATAATCACCTATAATTAAATGACCGATTTTTGCTTTAGCTGAAAACGAAATATTTAGATTTATAAAAATGATGTATATAAATTAATACCATTAATAAAGGAATGGGCAGAGCTTTGGACTTTGGATTCCGCGATTCGGGTTTAAATCCCATAGTATTTGATGGCGTATATCGTTGACACCTGTGGAAATAAATATTTACCTCTTATTGGCTCTTATATTGATTTTAAAAGAATTTTTAACTCCATAAGATAGAAAAACAAATTGCTCTCATGTTTATTGTTTAACAATATAAGAAATATAAGACACATATTTAAAAAATACTGGGATTAAATTAGTACCTAAGTCTAGACAATTTATTATTATAATACTTATTATAAGACTTAGAGGATCAAAGAAGTAGTTATTTGATTTTAAAATTCATAATGTTCATAGAGTAAGGTTGTAAATCTTATTAAAGTATTAAGAAATAAAAATAATTTAATTTTGACTACGTGCATTCTAAGAAAAGTGAGTTTCATTCTCATTAGAGAAAATAATTATGAACATCACAGTAACAAAAAATTAAATTTTTAATATTTTGATTTATTTCCATTACGTTGAAAGGTAGTAGGGGAAGTTGTATAAAAAAACGATTTGGTTCTTGAATATATCTATTTCAGATTGAGTGGTGATAATAAACAATTTTTCCGTGTAGAGGTAGGTACACATTTTAATATCTGTTAAACTAGTTTACGTTATTGTATTTTTAATTTCAGGTAACAAAGTCGGAATGAACAAATCATTGCATTAAAAATTATAGCAAACATCTTTACAACATAAAGAAGAACAGTAGAACCGTTTAATAATAATATTAATACTCTCCCTAATTCACCCCCTTACGAGTGAATTTCAACCCCTGAAGTCGACTGAACGACTTGTGTAGGGGAAGGGACGGGTATTATTATTATTATTTGCCGTGGCGCTCCGGGGCAAATTAAGGATGATTGATGGTGCCATTTGACTTACAGGTGAGGAAAACCCGGAAAACCTCACCCACCATCATAAGAATGGTGCATCACCTGATTGTAAGCGATAATTATTTACGTATGATAACAATAGTTTAATAACTTTTTTTATTTTTTAGGTTTAATTAATCCTGATGAACTTGTCGAGGTTAAATGTTTTTTAAAAGTAGCCACATCTAATCTTTCATTGAGAGAGGCCGTAGAGAAAAAAATGGTTCCCTGTTTAAGAATTGAAAATGGTGAAAAGCGTTTAAAGGAAAACTACAATTACTATTATCAGATGAGATTTCTGAATACATTTCAAAGTAATTTAATGAAAGCTATATTTTCTAACAAATTAAAAATTATTATATTTTTAGATTCAAGGACAACTCGGTATCTCACGAAGAAGAATGTGCCATTTTATAGTTTATGTAAATGAGAATCCTTTTTTATTGAAAAAATATATTTTGATGATTTTTTTTTTAAAATCTAATGGAGAAACCGAGAGTTTTTTATGAGGAATGTGTGGACCCGGAAATAATTTTGAATAGAAGAGGTAGAAAATTAAAGTACAGAGATCCGCCGAAGAGTAAATAAATTAGTATTATCTTCTTAAAATGAATAAAAATGTTTTTGTTTTAAGTTTTTTGATTTTATTTAATTTACTTATTTATACAAAATTTCGTGAAATACAGGTACCTAGCTAATCTGCTAATATTGTATATCTAATTTATTTTGATTTGTTTTGAAATTCTATATATTTAACTCATTAAAACTAAAAACTGGTACTTCTATTAAAGGTGTATATTTATAGAGGTTTTATTTAATTTCAACACTTTAAAATTTTAACACATTTGATTATGAAGTTACCTACGTGAAGATTATCTTTTTCTAAATTCAAAACCGAACCAAAAGGTATGAGTCAAAAGAAAACTATCAACTGATATCAGTTCAAGACGAAAAGGAGTTTTGAAAATTATTTAATGGGTAATCAGTGCCTCGGAGGTAAACTGCAGTCATTCTAGTCAACTTTTTTAGTAAAGCAGACTGAATGTTGTTTGGACACTTTTGTGTTCCACATTTACTGATATCAATTGAAGAGCATAACTTCAAAAGGGTCAAAAACATTGAAAAAAGTTATAAGTAAAATAAAAATTGTATACATCATATACGCACAAATACATTCGCCATGTTTATATCACTACAAAAATTGAATTTCTTTTAAAATGCACTTAGAACCATTTGTATACCGTTAGGGTTGGTATATTGAAGCTTTTTATGTATAAATGTATAGTTTTAAATTTTGGCACTTAGGCCCTTTTGAAGTTAAGGTCTTCAATTATATTTCAACAAGAAATGCAGTTAGCCCCAATTATTGTCACAATATGTATTGTTTACTAATAATCTAACTATTAAAACTTTTTTTAATATGACTTGTTAGTTTTGGTAACATATTTCTATGTTCTATAACAATTTTTCTTATGACATGCTTCTATAAATAGTACGACATAGTTTAGTTTACCTCCCAGGTACCCATATCGGTATATATTTATTTAAGTATTCGTGATATAGGTACATACCTAACATAGACACAACTATTTAGTTTCTTGAAGTAATTTAGCTAAATGCAATATTTATTTTTATATAGTTTTTAAATAAAACTGTAATGTAAGTTTAGCTTCCATTTTTTTGTAATTGCATGCGCCACTATCATTCCAGTTAAATCCTCACTGCTACAACTGTTGCTAGCATTTATAGATAGGACATATTTCTATAACTTCAAATTCATTAGAGACAACCTACAAAATAAAACAATTATTCATACAAAATTGTACTAGGGCCAAGAAATTATCCTTGTTCAAATAAAATATATATTAAAATTGTCATACTTGTGAAATACCTTCTGATACGATGTACAATGATTTTTCTTGGCTGGCAACTGCAATCTAAGATCTGTTTAAAGTTAGGTAGTTTATATCATTGAACCCATTCCTTGATAAAACTCAGTCATTGCTTAATTTTGATGGTATTCCTATAAAAGAGTACAGATGACATTGGGTATAAAACACATGACTATTTTGTAGAAACTGGACCAAAACAAAATATAAACATAACCTCAAAAATATTAGTAAATTTTTTACCTGGAGCTTGGAGACGTGTTTCGTTAACAATCATTGAATTGACACACATACTTCCGATTTATTAAATTATCAGTTTTATTTAGGCACGGTTTTTAAATAAACTCAATTTAAATTGTCATATAGTTAATTATAGAGTTTGACAGCTTGATTGGGGACATCAAGATAAAATAATGTAGAGGGGACATAAACACTATTTTGCGATATGGTAAGTGAACAAACTTTGAGTCGTATTTTGATTAATTTGACGTTAATAATGTTACATTTCAAGATTGACTGAATGACAATGTTTTTATATCATTTAATTTATGCTATTAAAAAAAAAATGCTATTTATTCTCACTAAAACAGACATATGACAGACATTTTTAGTATTGTCATATTATCTCCTCTTTATTTTATATC